TTACTTTAAAACGTCTGCAAGATTTCAAAGCATTCAGTTTTGCAATTCTTGATTTATTTAATAAAATAAATTCACTGAATTATTAATTTTTTTGAGTCACCTGTATAAGCAAATCTAAAAAAATATTAATGCAGTGATAAATCACAAGTATGGACTCATCATACTTTGCACATTTAAGATATGATTTGTTCAGCAAAATTTTGAGGTGGTATGAGCAAATACATTGTGATAAAAAATTTATCTCATCTCCAAGATTTTAAAGCATTTTTTTCAATTTAATTGTGAATCTGAAAAACATCTCCAAAATTTTAAAGCATTTTTGGCAACTTAATTGTGAATCTGCAAAACCGAATGTTTTGAAATCTTGTAGATATTTTAAAGTTATCGTAAGCATGGTGAAGTTTTAATAGAAAAATATTTGCTTATCCTCTCAAAAAATTTATGACGTCATCCCTAAATTTTGCTGAATAAATCCTTTCGGAAATATGCAAAGTATTATGACTTTATGCTTGTGATTTATCAGTGCATTTATATTTTTTAGATTTGCTTATATAGGGTGATTCAAAAAATTTAATGAATGAGTCATTTTTTTATTCATTAAATCAGAACCTGCAAATTCGAACGAAAATTTGGGTATACAATACTGTTATTATTAATATTACACTGGACCAATCAAAGTTCATATACGTGTCCTCACAGAAATCTTGATGAGATCAAAACAAATTTTTTAAATTTTTAAACATACTCGTAACACACTTCTTTACATTTACGTTAAGATTATATACATATGTTTATTTCAACTTATAGGGGTTCTGATAAAAAATAAAATTCGCAATTTCAAATTTTATAATTTTTTGAAAATACTGGATATGTTTCATTATACTTCAGGAGCAAAGGAAGTTCTGTCGAAACAACTTCGACCAATTTTATATCTCTACTTTGATTGTCCACACATCTTTATTTTAAGTGATAGGGATTTTCAGAAAAAAATAAATTCGCAAAATTAAATTTTATAATTATTGTTGGCGGTATTTTGTAATTATTTAAATTTCAAAAACAATTGCATATTTTTAGCATATACAAGAAATTAGTTGATCTTTACTTCAAAACTTAACAATTTATTAATTGAACGTATTGAAAGTTTTAATTGTAATTGTATTCATCTTTGTTGACTTATTGGAACGACTTTATAAAATATTAGTTTTGAAGATAATTATTAGTTTATTCCGTAAGTAAGGTAGTTAGTTAGTTTCCACAACGCGTTCATATCATAAGATTAATTATAACTTTATAACAAATCTGTATCTCAGAATTTCTGAGACATTTAAGAGGCGGTTTCTGAGATGGTTACTAAAATAGATCGATCTATGAATAATATTTCATGTGTGTATATCATTTTATTAACGTTCACTAAAAGCGTTTCTAAAAAGCAAAAGCATACAAAAATATTTTAGATTATACCTACTCTTCAACAGTATTTATTTAATATATTTTTTTAAAGTTAGAGTATTTTAATAACTGATGCAATATTCGCGGAGCAAAGTAATGTTAAATCTCCACAAAATTTCAGTTCTGCTTTTGTATCTAAACTAAATTATCACCATTATACTTAGGTGAAAATTTAGCTAGGAACTTGAAGTATTTACATTTAATTGAATTAGTAAAAAATATATAAATATAAATTCTAATTGATCATAGTAGATTAGCACAAACCAGATTAAATCAGAACTTGTCTGTAGTCACTTGTCAGGAGGTGCGTGATCGGCGATTACACAAAGCATCTGGGGATAATGTCATCAATGCATATTACTAATTCATGTTAGTTGATATAGGTCTTGCCTGAATGCCTGCCAATACTGATAATAATTGTTTCATTCCACAAACATGCAATTGTATTGAAATTATCAAGTACCGCATCACCGTAAAGAATAACTTATCTGTAAATAATGTAAGCCTGGATACAGTGGTGACTACGCACACAATGGTATAATCTAAAATAAATTTATACAAAGTTAAAAAATGTTGATATCAGTAAACATTATATTGATTTACACCTAAAATTTTAAAATAATTTTTGGTAGTAATGGAGATTGTCAAAGAAACGCGATCAGGCAACAAACAGACCGACGGCAGATAACAAGTAAGCAGAAACTGTAAACGGACAGCTTCGTATTCTACTTACTTACTGTGAAACGTGAATACAAGGAAATTATAGACATACTCATTACACAGACCTTTGTTAACAAACTTCCTTCAGCTATTGTTTGGAAAGTAATATGGAAATAAGTTGAATAAGTAATTTTTAGTAGTGTCGTATTCCAGGATTCACGTCCAGAGGAGTTATAATGCCAAACAACTTCCAAAATAGGTAAAAAACAAAATAAGTTAAATAATCTAAAACAGCAAGCACGAAAGAACTGAACATGTTTTGAAGAAAAAGAAAAAAAGGCCTAAGTATTCATTTTATTTTCAGTTTAAATGTAGAAGTCCCCAGCAACGTAGGGTTTATCGAAAAACATGAAAGATTTAAGAACAGTATTATTAAGACAGTGAAGACTATTAAAAAAGCAATGATTAAAAATATGCTTTTACAAATATTAAACATACAATTATTATAATAAATAATACTAGACACGCCTTCTCACCGTTTCGATCTTTCGTTGACACTTTATGCATTGTGTTGTTTTAATAGTTTTATGTTAATTCAGTGCTAATTCCAAACCCCTAATAATTAGTGAAGAGTAGAATTTTTTCTAGTTAACTGAGCTTTATGTAAGATCAAACGAGAATATAATATCACAGCATCCATCTAACTAAAATCATTTTCGATATCGCTGCTACATCATTAATAACGCTTCGTCCCTTAATGTAGTCACGGGATTAAGTAAGTTGCTCTATGTATGGGTGCAGTGTCGAAGTAAATTTCTATGGAGCATCTAAGCATACATCAATACGTTCTGGTTTTTATTATGTAAATCCTAAAGTTGATAGATATGTTTACAACATTACATACCTCGGAAGTAAATAAGTGTTAATGGAAAAGGTCATTGGATGTTTTTGTCAATTGAAATAACGTAAATTAAGTTTCTGGTCCATTTATTTAATGTGTAGGTACATCATAAATAAAAGCAACTTCTTTTAAAACTTCAGTGGATAACGTTGTTTTGCACATATTACATCGTGCTATTACCGTGATATGAAGTTATAGCGAGATTAGAAACCTATGTTTGTTGTAACCTTAACGTGATGATAAGGAAATAAAATGAGTCACATTTGGATTAATAAAAAAAAATGCATTGAGGCTACCGTTGAAGGAATACATGTCTTTCACTTGCAACACAAACGCTCTATCACCGAGCCTATATACCGTTTAGCTTTATAGCGCTGATACTACTAGTACATAAGTATGTACAAAAAAAACTATAATTAAAAAAAAGACAGACGACAGTTTATATGTCAATGTAAAACCAACATTTTCGTATTATACAAACCATAAAATATCGAAAAACCATGAAACTTGTCAATAATCTTATAACAGTAATTTCCTAGTTTACGATGAAGAATTTTTCGTGTAAAAGTTTAGATCTATCAATTTTTGAAAACCATTAGCCACTTGGGTTAATTTTAATTTTAAAACACTCTGACAGCGTAATATGACATTCCTTAACAGAAGGGTGAACTCAAGTTGTAGAAATATCCATACGGAAAATTCTCTTTTTTTTCCTCGAAGTTGCACTATATACTTAATCTTAATTTTTTCAGACGTTTTTTTACTCGCAGAGAAAGATTCTTTTTAGTGGATGAATAATAAATAATAAAATCACTCTAACAAATGTAACTTAAACTTTTCAGTCCTTAAAGTATTAGATTTTTACTGTCCTAGATGTCTATCTCCTTGCGTTGATTTTCTATCACCATAAACTTTATTTGTTAAAAAAATAACTTCATGATTAATTATTATCAATTGCCAAAATAAACAGTTTAATAAATTTAAATAAGTGTAATTAAAACGTCAGCCTTTTAAGAATTTTGTTTGACATTTTGAAATAAAGGACAAAAAAAACAAAATGCGGAACTGTACTCTAACAATTCGTGAATGCTCAATTGTTTGTCTCTTTGTATAAATGTTTGTTTTTGTTTGAAGTTAACATTTTTTCAACTTCCATTTTCATAATAAACGTTTCGTGTGGCGAAATGTAACGCACAGCCAAATATCACTTCACCACTCAAAAAATATTTTCTGTGTAAGTATGGCATGATCCAAAAATTCGTGCACGTACGTTTATCGAGAACTTTAAAAGCTTTAGGATTTTCCTGGGAAGATTTAAGGTTTAGTTCTAAGAGCAAAAATTTTATCATAAAAAGCTGTGAGTGTGTGAAAATAACCAGAACACATTTTCGCCGTTATTCAAGGGGAAAGCCAAACTTTTGTATATCTGTATAATCAATCAATCAGCGAATAATAATAAAAAAAGTGTTTTGTATTATATTGTTAAGAGCAGAATTAAGCTCCGAAATAGATAGGTAGAAAAATCAATTTTATGTTGAACTTGTATTAGCTGGGCGATAATAGGGCACAGAAAATATGGTCTAATCCCATTTTTTGCTCGTGTTGTTGAAAGAACAGAGAGTTTTCTAATGCAGGTTACATTAAAGCGCGTTTCTTCTAAGCGAGAACGCAGAAAATTTAATTCTAAGAGCTCGGCTTTCAGTTCATGCAAAGATAAATAAAAAACCGCTACACCTTTAATTAAGTTCATCAAAATTTTAAAAGGATTATTGATTTTATTGTATTTTAATCAAAGGTGTTTAATAAAAACCAAACTTTTCAAAGCGGAACAAGGGGTTAAAAGCCGACCGTTTTTCAACGTTATTATGTTGTGCGAGATTAACTTGATTAAAAAATTTTCGTCTTTTATTTGCGTACAACCCAGTTCGTGAAAAGAAACATTTTTTTCTAAATCAATAAAAGATGTTAGAAAAAGTTTGAAGTTACTCACCGATAGTTGACTAATTGTAAGACGTTAGTCCTAGTCCGTCAAGAGGACGATTACACAAGTAGCACAGCAGGAACACAAATGAAGGTGTGCGCCGTTTCCTGCGGGTTGAGCTTTATACCTCGCGCTTGGCCTGCGCTCTTCTCTATTTTGCAGGACTGCTATTCAAACGCCAGGACTCGGACAAAATTCGTTCCTTGTATTTTTATGTTTATATGTGTTTGACACGTTTAACACTGCCTCTGTTTATTGATCTTTCATCGATAATTTAATAGTTTGCCAAGATAACCACAAAGGAAATGCCGCGAAATTTCACGCCTCAAAGGGGGAAAGAATTTTCTTGCGCCCGACTGGTTGCGTTCATACGCACTTTGTTGTATGGGTTTAAAGCGTAGACGGAAAAAATTGCTTCACTGCTAAACGGTTTACAGAAACGGTTTATTGTAAAAAAAAAACAGATATGTAAGCCACAGGGAATATTGAGGGACAGATAGAGCATAAAACCTCCTGGAATTGTATGGATTCGCAAAATAAATGAAACCATAATATTTACGATGAAAACAAAAAAACAAAAATTTCGTTGGTTGTTCTGAAACAATTCAAGTTTTACGGAGCTGAGGACATCCCAGAACACAAAAGTTGTCACGAAGAACTAATATTGAAATAGCAAGGGTATTGTATGTACTGACGTTTCTTGTACACTCATTCCGAAATCGCTGTCAGTTTAGCTTATATGGCGTGACCATAAAAATAAGTAATTTAAAAAAGTTGAAACATGGGAGCATTTTTGTGCTTAGGGGTATTAAATCTAGTATGACCTCGTAAATACATGTCGAATATTATCTCTTTATACAGTACAGTTACAAATGATTCTGGTATCAAGGGTGGCTCTGGAATTTCTTTTGTTAATTATCGTGCTGCGTTAATAACATTATTCATTTGTTATTTTTTACTTATTCTCTTTTATTACACAGGCAGAACTTCTTGCTTAGACACTACTAGTGCATAATAATTTTGCTTTCCAAATAAATTTAGCTTTAATATTCTGATTTATCAACAAATAAGACATGTGACTAATTATTGCCCAAAATATCTGGATCTAAAGTAAAAAATTGGTCTAAAGAGTTTAGACAGTACTTCCCTCGCTGTCGGAAACTTGACGACTGCATGCCTATTGTGTTTTTTTTCTCATTACATTTTTGTAGTGGGAATTTAAAAAAAAAATTGCGATGACGTCATCAACATTTTTGCAAGGACACGTATATCAGTTGGGATAGATGTAGTGTAATACTAAGAATAAAATTATTATATTCTCAAATTTTCGGGAAAATGAATTGGGTCGTTTTGAATATTGATTTGTAATAATCAATAAAATAACGAAACAATTTACTCACGTATACATATCAGAGGCAACTGAAAATCGTGTATGTATAAACATTCTTAATTTAAGATGACAGGCGTAACAGCATACCTGAGAGTCAAACAAAGAAACTGTAAACAAAACGACAATCGGTTTTATTGCGTCGACTTCCGCTTATTATATAAAACATTGGATTTTATTTTAATTTTTGACGGTGGAATTCACAATTGGTTGATTTAAAACATGTCTATACCACATTCGCGCAACCTAGTCAGCTATGTTTCAACCGAGTTTTAACTTTAAAAAATTTTGTGTCTACCAAATTGGGTTGGTCCAATGTAATACTAATAATAAGTGTTGCCTTTAATTTGATCAATAAAATAAATTGACTTCATTAATTTTTTTGAGCCACCCTTTAAGAAAATCTAAAAAATATGAATGGAATGATAAATCACAAGTACAAACTCATCATATTTTCTGCATTTTAGATAGGATTTATTTAGCAAAATTTAAGGGTGACGTCACCAATTTTTTTAGAAGGGATGAACAAATACATTTTGAACAAAAGTTTACCATGCTTTTAATAACTTTAAAATATCTCCAAGATTTCAAAGCATTCGGTTTTGTAATTCCTGATTAAATCGATCAAATAAATTCACGCATTCATTAATTTTTTTGAGTCAGCCTGTATATGCAAATCCAAAAATATGAATGGAATGATAAACCACAAGTACAGACTCATCATATTTTGTACATTTTAGATAGGATTTATTCAGCAAACTTTTGGGGTGACGTCATCAATTTTTTAGGGGGGATGAGCAAATACATTTTGATAAAAAATTTACCATGCTTATAATAACTTTAAAACATCTCCAAGATTTCAAAGCATTCGGTTCTGTAAATCCTGATTAAATCAATAAAATCAATTGACGCATTCAATAATTTTTTTCAGTCACCCTATATATGCAAATCGAAAAAATATGAACGGAGTGATAAATCACAAGTACAGACTCATCATATTTTTCACATTTTAGATAGGATTTATTCACCAAATTTTAGGGTGACGTCATCGATTTTTTTAGGGGGGAAGAGCAAATACATTTTGATAAAAAAATTACCATGCTTATGGTAACTTTAAAACATCTGCAAGATTTCAAAGCATTCGATTATGTAATTCCTGATTAAATCAATAAAATAAATTGACGCATTCATTAATTTTTTTCAGTCACCCTGTATATGCAAATCGAAAAAATTTGAATGGAATGATAAATCACAAGAAGAGACTCACCATATTTTGTACATTTTAGATAGGATTTATTCGGCAAAATTTTGTGGTGACGTCATAAATTTTTTAGGAGGGACGACCAAATACATTTTGATAAAAAATTTACCATGCTTATGATAACTTTAAAACATCTTCAAGATTTCGAAGCATTCGGTTTTGTAGTTAATGAGTAAATCAGTAAAATAAATTTTGCGCATTCATTAATTTTTTTGAGTCACCCTGTATATGCAAATCCAAAAAATATGAATGGAGTGATATATCACAAGCACAGACGCATCATATTTTGTACATTTTAGATAGGATTTATTTGGCAAACTTTTGAGCTGACGTCATCAAGTTTTTGGAGGGGATAACCAAATATATTTTGACTAAAGATTTATGATGCTCTTTAGAGCCTTAAAACATCTGCAACATTTCAAAACATTCGGGTTAGCAGATTCAAAATTAAATTGCAAAATGTTGTTTTATGATTTTGATTTTTTTTCCAAAAATCTGGACGTTTCGGGCAAAAACTGAATTCGAAGTCATAAACTACATGTGTAGGACTATGTTATTTTATACAATTTAAGACCTATTTACTATGTACAATTTTGAAGTGACGTCATCGCATTAGTGGTGGAGATGATTAGACAAATTTTGGTTAGCGTTTTACCATCTACATGATATTCCTAATATAAGTACAAAATTTCACAACAATCAGTCCACTACTTTCGGAGATTAAATTTTAATTCTAAAAAAAATCCGGGACGGCAGACGGACAGACGGACGGACAGACGGACAGACGGACGGACAGACGGACGGACAGACAGACGGAAATGGGAGACCTATTTCTTCGTCTTCTAGGGGTCATGAAAGATCGAGAAAACGTAAAAGCAGAGAGTCGGCCGACGGACTCGATTACAATACTTCCTTTGCTTACGCTCGGGAAGTAAAAATGATTTTATCCTCTTCTCAGCATCCAAAGTAGGCTTTTTAGATAATCATTTTCGGTGCAGAAGAAATTCTGTGGAATCACCAGCTAGACTGCCAGATCTGCCGCCACTTTTTTTGAAGGACAGCTTAAATTAATAGCTGGCATATCAAAACCAGAATCTTTAGAAGAAAAGTCACCAATATTCAGGTCCCTTGGTTTATTGAAGTGGCAAACTATTCTCAAAAATGCAGTGACAGATACATTGTGTTTGTGAAAATAGTAATGAATTGTTCAGTTACAATAGTTTAACGTACCTTCGTTTGCTTGTGGCCAAGGTAATGGTAATGTTATAAAACATTAATTACATGTACAAGTACATTAGCAACATTACTAACATTTTGATAACAAAAATATCGTAGTAAATAGGATAAGGGAAATTACTTAAAGTAATATTTAGCTACTGCGTACTGCCTGACTGTGGACAAATTGCTTTTATAAAACTTAGTCATACATATATATTTATAACTTAAAACTTGAAATTTACGCATCTAGTAGGTCCTGAAAACCAATTAATTGAATTAAGGATTATCGAATTGAAGTAAAGGTTAGAAGTTGCTAAAATGAGAAATTGATGAAAAACGGAAATTTTGTTAGCCCTTAATAACGTAATATGATAAATCTAACTAACAAAAACTATAAATATTGTACATAGTTAATATGGTTCCAGTAGTGAGCCACTTGTGAGCTATTTAAAAGTACTTTGACATAAGATTAGGAAGACATTAGTTTTCATAGAATGATTCGCCACAAACACAAAAAACAGAGAGGAATAAAATTCATGTATCCTGCAAAGTAAAAATATCCGTGGAAAATGTTGCATTCTTTGTGTGACACTAAAACATGACATATGTAAAAAGGTGACCACAAGAGAGTACCATAATAATGGCAGTCCCTGCCGAAAAATTACTAAAATTTATAAAATAATTTTTATCCCCACAACATAGAAAACACAAAATATTAGTCGACGCGTTGTGCTAACCACCTTGACATTATTTAGACAAAGCGAAACCCTAATTAGAATCGGAAAGATCGACGGGAAAATTTAACGAATACCTTGGCAAAAATTCCACATTGTAGCTTCGGTTATACCTTGGCCATCAGACTGCATACTCGTCTATAATAGATAGTTTTTCGTGCTTGGTACATAAATAATTATTATATTTTTTTGTGTCAAATCTCTAGGAAGTGCAATTAAACCTTGAAACTTAAAACAATAGTTAGAAGATAATACAGAATTAACTTCTGAGTGGGTAACCTTAAATTTTAATACTTTGAAACCAAAATTTATGAATATAGATATATTCTGAAGTCACGATAACTTCATATGACGTCACTAATTTTCTACTGTTATTTTTACTGTGTTCTTTAACTGTTTTTGAATCTCTAAATTAAAGTGTACCACCACTTCGAACCAGTTTGTTTTTTAATCTCTGAGATAAACTATAGAATGTTATGGCCTAAACTTAATTTGA